CAACCACTAGTTCATATTTTTAATTTGTCTATGTCAAGCGGAGTTGTACCGATAAACATGAAGATCGCAAAAGTTGTACCAATTTTTAAAAAAGGTGACTCTCAATTACTAACAAATTATCGTCCGATTTCTTTGTTAACCTGTTTTTCAAAAATTCTGGAAAAAATTATTTATGTAAGAACTATAAATTTTTTAAACAAAACATGTGTCTTCAGTAATTATCAGTTTGGTTTTCGGGAGAAGCATACAACAACACATGCAATCTTACACCTTATAGATAAACTTGCTTCTGCCTTAGATAGTCGCTTACACACCATTGGTACATTTTTAGACTTTTCCAAGGCCTTTGATACTGTAGACCATGAAATTCTCTTAAGTAAATTATTTCATTATGGTGTCAGGGGAGTCGCCTTGGATTGGTTTAGAAGTTATCTAATTGATAGAAAGCAATATGTGTCCTTAAATGGAATTGACTCTAGTCCCCAAAAAGTAACATGTGGTGTTCCCCAGGGATCCATTTTGGGACCACTTTTATTCATCTTGTATATTAATGATTTTCAACGCTCATCAAGTGTATTATCATTCATATTTTTTGCTGATGACTCAAGTGTATTTTTTTTCTCATAAATGTCCACAATCATTGTTGAAAACTGTTAATGAAGAGTTTCGAAAAGTAATGAAGTGGATTAATGCTAATAAGTTATCCTTGAATCTTCAGAAAACTAATTATATACTGTTCAGTAATTCAGTTAATATTTTGCCAGGCGAAGTGGCATTCAATAATAACCCAATTGAGAGAGTAACTTCAACGAAATTTCTTGGAATATACATAGACGAGAAACTGAATTGGAAAACTCATGTGGACAAATTAAGTAAAGTGGTGTCAAAAAATACTGGTGTTATTTATAAGTTGAGATCATGTATACCTCAAGAGGTATTGTTCATTTTGTACTCTACTCTTATTTTATCATATATTAATTATGGTATGTTGGCATGGGGCAAATCATCCAAAACTCAAATCCACAGGCTTTTTGTTGTGCAGAAGCGGGTTATTAGAATAATTTGTAAAGCAAATTATCGTGCCCATACAAATCTACTTTATTATGAAAACAGTATTCTAAATAATCATGTGCAATATATTTCTAATACTATTTCACGTAATATTGGTATTCTCTGTAAATTGAAATATTATGTCCCTTCAAATATCTTGTTTATGTTATATAATTCATTAATACTGCCATATATTTCATATTGTAACATTATATGGGCAAATTCGAAAAGTAACGTTGACACCATTTTACTGTTACAAAAGAAAGCAATGCGTATATGTACTGATTCTTCCTATCGCGACCACACCAATCCCTTGTTTTCGAAACTAAAAACTCTAAAAGCTGATGATATATATATTCTACAAATAGCACTTTTCATGTTTCGCTTACAAAATGGTTTACTACCTTCTTATTTCCCCCCATTGTTTAATTTAAATAAAACCATCCACTCTTACCCTACAAGGCAAACTGAAAAATTCCATTTAAGAAATCCAAAAACCGCATTGGCTCTCAAATCCATAAGACACGCCGGCCCAGACATCTGGAACTCTCTGCCCATTGTAATAAGAAACCTTAGGACATTGTATTCATTTAAGAAGGCAGTTAAAACTATGTTATTGTCTAAGTATTGATCATGTCGTGTGTAATTGTACTATATTCATGTTCATGTGTACATTGACTGTATATTTAACAATGATGTGTAATCGTCCATGACCTAGCATCGTTAAGCCATTCATGAATGAACCTGCATTCAATCAGCAGATGTACGAGATTTATTGTATTATTACCAACGCTCCTTCTCTCCCCTTTCCTTTTCTTCTCTGCAAGTCAGTCTTTTCTATTTGTATTTGTTATTATTATTATTATTATTATTATTATTGTTGTTGTATCTAAGTTGAGGGCTGCGGGCACGTCAAGCGACTTTGCTTATTTCTGTAGCCCTCCTGCATCTAATGTATGTTAATTATGCCTTCAATATATTTGCTTAAATTCGTTTATTATCTGTATAAAATTATATTGTATCAAACCATATTATGTTCATGAAAATGTATGATGAAAAAGAAAAAAGATGCAGAAACCAATAAATCAAATCAAATCAAATCAAATCAAATCAAAAACTAGAAGATCTCTATTCAATGCAACTTGGAATGCTCATGTTTAGCATTCACTCTGGAGACCTCCCTCCTGCCCTTGCTCAAATCTTTAGAAGAAATAACCAAATTCACAGCTATAATACTAGACAGGCTTCTGCTCTCCATTTACCATATGCAAGGACAACCTTCACTTTGAATACACTAATGTCCACTGGCCCCAGGTTCTGGAATTCACTTGATACTACCATAACAAATGCTTCAAGTATCTCAGTTTTTAAACGTAGACTTAAGTCATATTTTCTTGACAAGTATGTCGATGACACACGAATGTGTTATCAAGCTTTATTGTTAGTGTACTGTAGCATATTTAACTCTACTCTTGATCTTTTTTTGTTAATTCTTGACTTTGACATATAACCCCCTTTATCCCTTTTCTTTTTTCTTCTTCTTTCTCATCTGTACATACTACATATACCATATATTCCTACTTGACCTCTGCACTCAGAGAGCAATAACTCATTGATGTCTCGACTTGGTGTCGGCTTGGATTTGTCCATATTAGATCATATTAGATGCAACGTTGGGTAGTTGTTCTCTGAGAGTATTTTGTAAATAGTTTTATATATTCCATATTTGTTGTTGTATTCATAAATAAGTTATCTTTGTCACATCATATGAGGGGGGCTTAACTTAACAAGCTGTGCTTCAACCAAGGTCTCCTCGTCTTCCTTTGTTCTACATTGTACTGTTATGATTATACTCTATTATATTTTGTCACATGTGTTTTCTGGAAGACAAATAAACTTGATACTTGATACTTGATACATTCCTCATCAAAATGAAGGAACATGCAGCTAGATCTGCATGTGTATTCACTATAAGATGACATGAATAACACAAGGTTTTAAAATTTTGTAATTGTATGGTAGGTATTATGAATGTGTGTCTAGATATTATTATTAAGCTGTTACTTTGTCTTTGTCACTCCCCTCCCCCCCCCCCCCCCACCCACCCCCCCCCCCCCCTCGGCCACTCCCCCAGTGTTCACAATGACCTGTCAAAAATTGAATTGACCCTCTTGCTGGGGAGGGGGGTGGGGGTGGGGTCGATGACACCCTAAGGGTGAGAGAAACATTATAAGTTCATTTCCTGTTTATAAAGTGCGCCCTCTATTGAGAAATATTAGTGGTTTTGTAGCCATTGGGACGCCATATTGGATTTCGTGGTTCCCTGAACCACTGCTTAACGTTCTAACTTAACCTAATGGATTCTATGACCCCGAAAACCATAGCATAGACACCCCAATTATGTTTTTGGATGGATAATAAGTGACTTATGGCCATTTTTATGTAATGGCGGCCATTTTGGACGCCATCTTGGACTTGGGGGTTTCCTAGACCATTACAAACCATTCTTACTTGTCTCAATGGATTCTCTGATCCCCGAAACCATGGGATAGACACTAAAATTATGTCTCTAGGATGGATAATAAGTGATTTATGGCCATAAATCTAGGTAGCGGCGGCCATCTTGAAAATATCAGCTTTCTGAACCTTCGATTTTGGTATACTTTTAGTATGTTATTCCTGAGGTCGAATACTACTAGAAACCGTTGAAAAACCTTTTGTTGCAATTTTTTGGGGTCAAACCATATCTTGACCTGACTATAATGTAGCCTTTCACATTTAATCTACCCATTACGCCTCAGGTGCAGGAAGATAAGTTTATATGTTATGTTTAATATGACGGCAACCAAACAAACAAATTGGAGTTTATTGGGGAAAATGAGTATGGTAAAACCGGTCACTCAACGATTTTTGATTTTTTAGGTACTACATGGTAATTTTAAAGCGCAATTTTTTAAGGCTTTAATATTATACCATATCACAGACACTGGTAACACGTAAGGCCGCATCTCAGATTTGTAAAACTGGAAACATTGTAAAACAATGCCTTTAAAGGTACTACAGAATGTCCCATTTGCAGCCAACACCATATTCTGTTGAACTTTGCAGGAATTATGAATATGTCACGTATTTCCTATCTGTGAAATTTAAACGTTAGCAGTGTCCTAGTATTCGAAATATGCAAGGAAGCTCGTTTACTTTCTAGACTTCACTGTCAGACACTATTGAGTGACTGACATATTCTTTTCTTTGGTAATACATAAAATGAAATGTATATGGTACATGAGCATTTGTCTACACCAATACCCCACTTCTTGTAATGGCCAAAATTATAGTGATTGAATCTTTGTGTAGCACAGAATAATTCACTATTTCGTACAAGGGTCTGAAAATCAGATTATTACTAAAAGGATTGCAATGACTAAAGTCGGTTCGACAACTAACGACCGTTATTTTCCCGCAAAAAGACATTTTCAAGTCCTTTAATTTTTGTGGGAAGTTCTAAATATTATCTTTCAAATGCCGTTGGAATTTACCCTTATTATTTTTTGGGCCTGCAAATTCGACATAGTACCTTTAAGTTGATATTTTAAGCACATTTCCACAAGCCAGGGGCGGTGCTTTGGACTGCTATTTTGTTCGAGATTTCATGATGAATAGCAGTATAGAAATTCATGAAATTATTAGTTTCTCTTGTCAAAACCTTTAAAACAAGAAATTGGCTCACTTTTGATGCAAAGCATGACTGTGCTTATGATTTTATATTAATCATTATTGTGATTTATTCTGAGAAGAAAATAGAATAAAATAACGTTACCTTTTTTGTCATTCAGGGCAGATTAAAAAATGGCGTCGGCCATAACTAATACGGAAATAGAAGACCTTGCCAAAGGTATTGGCATCAACAATAAATTCGACGGACTGGGTCTTCAGCTCGGTTATGAATATTCAGCCATAGATATCTATAAGGCTAGCAACCATTCAGGTGCCATTGTGTCGCATCAGGGAACCAAGGAAATGCTTAAGGATTGGCGTGATAACACCTCTCAAGAACAACAACGGCCAATCCTGAAGAAAGCGCTGAAAGACGCAGGCTTAGTCAGGCTAGCTGAAAAATATTTGGGAGGTATGATTAAGAAACTATATTCATATACTGCATGTGATACGCATTTTAAACCAAGAACTGGAATATTCATTAAATAAATATGTCATTACCTGTTATGTCAGATTCTTAACGAGTAAAAACGAAATGTATAGAGTGTTGAAACTATTTTTAAAATTAGGTTGCATGTTCTATATATGTTATCATAATCTTATTCAGGCTTATATTATTAGGAAGTATGATTATTCAGGATCATGCTTATCTCATCTCGCCTCCACATTCACCCTTGTCTCTCGTACCCCCTCTCGATCTTTCTCCCTTCCTTTTCCCTTTCTCCCCTGTCTCCCTAATTTCATTATATTGTTCAACTACTATTGTCATCCTAATTGACTATCTTTCTCATCTCTCCTCCACTTGTTCTGTATACTGAAACGAAACAAGTGGGGGGGGGGGGGTGAGCGAAATATATATATATATATATATATATATATATATGATGGCAATCATTTTTTTTATATGCATGCATGTACCTACCGGGCGAGGGGTTGGTGGCTATTTTGATCTTCTTGAATAGCCTATTTACATTTTTGGAACACGGAATATAATTACCTACGGATCTAAGGTTTAATTAGATATGAATTAAAAGAAACATCTAAATTATCTCACTGCTGCTTTAAGTCTAATGGAATGATTTTGAATTTCTAGTTCATGCTATTACACATTGTTTATTATTAGGATACAAATATGTAAAGCATGTAAACATTTTCAAACCAATTTGAATTTAAATTGTTATATTAGTATGGCAACTGCGAATACCAGCCTCTTTAGGTACCAACATTTATTCTTGATATAAACTGCGCTCTAAATACCAAAATATAAAATCATATAAAAGGGGTAGAGGAGTGACCACTTTCCAACATGGTAGATTAACACTTTCAAAATGTTTGATCCAACTCGATATAGGTTCATTTTTAGCTTGTTAGTGATTCAAGTGGTGATTTAGCATTTTAGTTTTTAGAGAGTAACAGAGCATTTCTTATACATGAAACAAAAAAGTGTGGAGCCCACAACTATCAGAGTAAAAATAGCAGAGAGGAGAAGAAACCCAAGGTTCTGATATAATTTAGGTCTACAATATATATCATTGTAATTCACATTCTGGGATATTGCACATTTAATTCGTATATGCTACAGGTGAAGCGGCTACGGGCACGGGGCAAGCTGGCAGAAGTGGAACTGAAACACATTCAGGTAAAAAAAAAAAAAAAAAAAAAAGAGAGCAATGAATCTCTTCCCTCTGAAATGAAATAGATTGAAAGGGAAAAAAATTAGTAAGGCTCATAATTCTGTGTCAACAATATCCTGAAAATTACGAAAATGAAATTATGATTCCTGATGATGATGATCTTGCATATATATTCCAAAAAATGTATATTGATTGGCATGATGGTAAATCGGTAATCCCTTTATCCTACAGAAACATTCAAAGTATAAATCTAACAGAAACGGGTGTTTTTGTTTACCGATCAGTATTTAAAACCCCCTGTCAACATTAACCTTCTTTCAAAATTAATATTTTTATGATAATTTCAAATCACAAGTGAAAATTCGTAAATACATGCATATCTTTATGATTTGAAACAAAATCATTATTATGAGTCAGAACGTTTCGGGCCAATCATTTATCCTTTAGTGTCTTAATCGAGATTTGTATTCATTTATGTTTTGCACCGATTGTACAAAATATATTTACATTGACAAACCTGCAGCGCTTACCTACAATCAGCTCTCCACGATGTTGCTGTTCATGACAAACTCTAAATCGATTTATCGTCATTTCACAGATGATTAGATATCCATAGGACATTTTATATCATGATTTAAGCTTTAATATGTATATATAATTCTCTTCTCAGTTCAGTTCATTCGACGCACCCTTAAATTGGGAGGGGGATGTGGAAATGGCTTTTCAGTTGGGGGGAGGGGGAAGGGCGGTCTTCAAGTTCTATGGCTAACGTTAGTTCTCTCTCTCTCTCTCTCTCTCTTACACTCACTCTCTCCCTCTGCCTATACTATACTTTATGGGTAATCTGTTTCAAAAGACACTTCCTAATCCATAGTTAACAGGACAACTATTTCATCATTTAATGTCGTAAACTCTCAGCTTCACCGTCGGGTAGTCGTCCAATCAGCAATTTAAAAAAGGCCATTTACATGAAATTCATCATGTAAAGCTAGTCTACATAGAACTCGTTTATGTCACGATCGTATGTTAGACAATTATCATTTAATGTAGCGATTCTAACAAGGAGATTTTAACAGAAAGTATGAAAAGACTTTTAACTTTCAACCTGTGAAAGACAAATTGTCTGTTACTTTTCACGAAATGCCCATACTGAGAAAGAATATTAAACGTATTCTTTTCCTAGGCCTTGAGACAAGGAAATACATCGACTCCCTACGTTTGATAGGCCTGCCCCAATCAACCTCATCATCTAGCGTGTAATTTCCCGTTGAATTCCACTGTCTTCTCAATTATTAGAGAAATCCCCCCTAATCAATTAAAAGTATAATTGAATACTATTTATATCCCTGAAATTTTCCGATATCATATTAAATCACGACAACGATCCACTTGCAATTATTTAAACCATAACTATACAGAACAAAAAGGACTATAGTCACAATATCCACTTTCTTAAAGACGATATTTTGAATTGTAGTACTTGAAACGAGCGCTTCTGTACAAGTGCTGCATGTTGTAAGATAATGATGATAAAAGTGATGATTTAAATGATGGTGATGAAGATGCCTACGTTTCTAATTATAAAAGATAATATCCTTCTTATCATTTTGCAGAACCTGTTACAGTTCATCAGAGTGGAGGAGCTCAAACTATCAATGCCTCTGGAAGTTCAAGGGTCGAAGGCAACACAATGACTGGACCGGTGACAAATATGACCATCCACAATCATCCATCTAAGTAAAAAAAAAACGGGGTATGGAGGAGGTAAGTTCTTATAAAGAAACAATTGACCGACTTTGATAATATTAGAGTTTCGATTATAAATGACTTCAAAAACGAAAAGTATATTGCAAATTCGAATTGTAGAAATAATAAATTCACACGAAAATGGTTTCAATTCAGGAATTTGTTTACATAAAATGATGTTTTTTCTGTATTCTTTTTTTCTTTCATGAATATCAAAAATGAATAATTGATTTGTTAGTTTTCTGTTAACTCAACAGTTCAACAATACTTGTATCTTGAGAAGCCAATTTTATTTATGTTATAAATGTAAATTACCTTGAATATATATTTGTTAATTTGTTTCAAATGAAAATCAATAAAATCCCTGTGGAGGGAAAAATAATTATGTAGAAAAAAAAAGGAAAAAAATATGACTCAAATGGAAATAATCCTCTCAAGGAAAAATAAAAGGAATATAATATCTAAGGACATTTTTGTCGTCCTCGAAAATATTTGAACTGAGAAATTGGTCATTTGAAATGGTAAGGAACAGTGGCGTGGCATTAGTTTAGCTATTGAAAGCGCTGATATCTATAGTGGGAACAAGGTAGGTGAAATACGAGAGAACAATGCTATGGGGGAGTTTCCGGATGGAAGAGTGTGTGAGGAGGACTCTTCATCTCCTTTTCAAATTTCCTTGCCCAGCCTTTATCCCCTCTTCGGGGTATAATTTACCCCCCTTTCGATGGGAGGGCGCACGTGCCCTAAATCTACGCCACTGGTCGGGGCATTAGTAAGATCATTAGTTAATAAAAAGGCTTAGTTGAATCACGTTACTATTGTAAATGAAAGGCAAGTGTGGGGGGGGGGGGGGTTAAATTCATATTCTAGTACTTTTTCTATTTGTAATATGTTTCAATTTTGTTTTACCTTTCTATTCCTCTAATCAAGGGCATCTACAAGTCAAAGTCAAGGTAGTAAAAGGAAGGCTGCTGGATCCTCAAGTGGCAAGACGGAACGGAAATGGGCGATATAAGATCATTTGTTTCTCTTGATGCTTAAACATATTCATCTGTACCATTCTTTTATGGTATAGAAGAGTACTGGTGTAGACTGGTGTTTACTGTTGTTCGAACGTGTCTACAAAAGATCGCCTTATCGTAATCTGGTGTTTGGGATTTCTGCTTTTGTTACTCTGTTCCTATGAGTTTTAAATAGATTGAAATTGTATTTTTGTTTATATTCAGCAAGCATTTTGATAGAGAACAGTCGCTTGTGGGTTTCGCAATTATGAACGAAGACATATAGAATTCCCTCAATGCCAGAAAAGGAGACGAAAAATAGTCAACAAAAGTTTTTGAATGTCACTTTCTTAAAATTCCCTCTGAGTTAAGAATACACTTAGTAAAGCACCATTGGTCATTATTGCTTTGGACCCGCTTTGAACTTATTTATTTTCTTATTTCGAGCTACAAAGAAAAGCCTGACAGATGTTTAATCTTATAAATATGTTGTTATGCTTAACAAATAGTCTTTTTAAAATGGCTTTAATGTTTATAACATGTACAGAGTAGTTAAACAAAATGATTCCGTCAACGAAATGAAGTAGATTATATTTGATGTAAGAAAAATTAAAGATGGAAACGAAATTATTTTTTTATCTGAAAATGGTTAATATTTAGGGAATTTATCAAGCTCGTGTGTTAGTTTGTAGAATTTGTATATGAGGAACGTTCCATATTGAAACCTCGTCTATCGTTTATAGTAATTACATCGGGTTTCTTTTCGTGTAAAAAGTTGATAAATTTTATAAAATTGTAAATGGAAAAATTCTGATGTAAGATGCTAAGAATTTAGTAAAAGGTAAGACTGTGAAAAAAAATTACAAAAATATTGATATAAATTGGAAATGATCCGATGAAAAATGCGATATTCCTAAGGTTTTATACATTTATTTCATTACAACCAAAACTTACGATGCCTCTTCACCAAGTTAGTAGCTTAATCTGTTTTGATTTAAAACCTTTCACCTTCAATCTTATCAATCATGTTAATGAAATAACGATATGTATATGCTTCTGTAATATTCATAACAGTCTTTCATTTATTTTAGACATTCATGAGATACTATTTTTCTTTGTCTTCCTATGATCTTATTTGCCATTCCTTGCTGTACAAGTCACGTGTAATCATATATTATGGTTAAATAGATCAGAGATCGCAATGGCAAGTAAATTTTACAACTCCATTCTATATTATAATTATGTTAACCATGTATCTTTTTTTCTTCTGTTATTGAATACACGTAATGAACAAGAAAATGAGATTGTTACATATCTCACATATGCAGTCACTGTATTTTCAAGGAAAAACAATGCTTCATTTTGAATGCACATTTAAGTGGTACGATGTAATGTGAAATAAAATTTAGATAGTATGTGAACATTTTTTTTATGCCAATTTTTCCAGCAAGCATTTTTAACCGTTTTAGTAATAAATTGACGTACAAATATTCGATACCTAGTTGGTTTCACCTCTATAACAAGAGCGAGATCTAAATATGAAGTGAGTTAAAAGAAGAGATCTTAACATATGTATGCTGGTGTCAGGCGCGGATCCACGGGGGGGGGGGGGGGGGCCGACGAGCCCGCCACCCTCCCCCTGGCAAAAAAAAATTAAAAATCTCACGAATTGGGAAGGAAAAAAAAATTAGTGCCTCTTACCCTAAATTCTTACCCCCCCCCCCCCCCTCCTCCTCCTCTTGCCGCTGTCTGGATCCGCCACTATACACTCAATAGATCAATAGATGGGAGTGAAATGAAAAGACAGGGGAAAGGATAGCGTATGTGTGTGTTTATTTGTGTGTGTGTGAGAGAGAGAGAGAGAGAGATGGGGGGGGGGGGCTGAGTCATATAGTAATGCGCTCGTCAAAGATTAAGGTTACTGATGTCACGGCCATCCGCTCACTCAATTGAGTCAATGGACATAACAGTACTCTCCGATCCGAGAGCGTTACCGTGAGTGTGTGTGTTACCCAAAGGGGGCAAAGCAGGTTCTTGCAGGGGCGGATCCAGACGGCGGCAGGGGGAGGGGCCCAATTCGTGAGAATATGTTTAGCTGCGAACAGCTGGCCGATAATTCGCTCAAATGGGGGGGGGGGGGGGGGGGTAGTGAGCACTATTTTTTTTTTTTTTGGGGGGGGCCCTCGAAATTCGAAAAATTTCACCCACCCCCCCCCCCCCTTGAGCGCCAGGGGAGGGGGCCCATCTGCCAAAAAAGGTAACATTAACGTTTTCTTACACGT